TGTGTAATACAAAAAATATTAGTTCTCGTATCTAAGTCTTGAGAAGGTCATTACGTTTGATGAAAGTTAAGTCTATATTTCGATTTTGCTTTTTTATAGAATAAGGGTGACAAACGAGCACACGGTCCACCTGATGGTAAGTGGATGCTGTAGCCCATAGATATATTTTCTCTTCGATTAAGAGTCAAAATTCAGATGCGTTGTCACCCTTGGGGTCTAACATGGAATACCTACCTCGTTTCCAGCAAAAAGGTTCTCTACACTCACCATACGGAACACAGCAGCATTAAGCTGCTATTTTACATTGGTGTTCTGTGAGAGCGTGGTTCTACCTCGGTCAAACCGACGCATTCGTGCTACAACCATAACATAGCTGTAGTGTGGCTTTACTACGTACAAAAATGCTTACATATTTTGTTACTATCTAATATTCTAGAAGCTTGGAATGAGAGAGATGAGAGATATTTATTGACTTTATGTTTTAAAGTCGCACTGTAATACTGTACTATAATTATTAACATATTTATTGAAAAATAACCAATGGTTTCTGCAAATAAATATAGTATCATTTATGAAGGATATGGACTTTGTGTTAATTACGTAAAGCGTCATATTCGTAGTGTGTGATTTAACGATAATGTAAAAGTAGATTTTTATTTTTAAGAATAGCTGTCGTAAAATACAGTTATCTTCTAGCCCAAGCTGTTGGATAATTATTTCAAGGAAATTTTGTGAATTTTATCTTCATATGAAAATTATTTCATAATTTTTTTTATATTTGTAAGTACTACTAATGTTTTTACACAGGAAACCTACAAATAATTACATTTTAATTTATAATATTATGTAGTACAAAAGAATATTATTGATAAGAATATGTTTGACATTAAAGTCAACAAGCTAATGCAACAGCCGAACGTAAAAGCACGAATTTTAGAGTACAAAATCAGATAGCATAATCTGTTCATTATTTCCACAGACTAAAAATTCTCTTTGAAACGTCACGGACATTTTACTTGACTCGAAGTATAATTGAGCTTGCTCCCATGCCAATTATTGTTAAAGAAAATTATATTGTTACAAGTGTTTGTTTCAATTTCAGCACAAATGTGAGATTCATTATGATAAAATATACATTTCTGGGAAAACGACAAATTACGAAGGTGAACTACGTCATATAGATTATATTATGTTGTTGAAATTATAGAGTTAAAAGAGATTTAGATCTCGTTGACGGTGAAAAAAATCATGTATGGTTATTTTATTATAATGGCTTATTACAGTGTCGTCAAAATGTCAATAAATGACTCTTGATAAAGTCTTTAAATGTTTATGTTTCTTGACTTTAATGTTTTGCAAACGTTTTAACAACCATTTTTTTATTGTACATACGCAGTTGTTATGCGAAAACAGCTTAATTAAACTTTTTAGAGTAACCTTCACTAAATATTTCTTAATAGTTGATAATTTTTTCGAATGAAATCAATATTCAGCGAGCATATTTGTTTTTGGCCAGTGTTATTTTTATATTAAAAAAATATTTTATTTTTTTGTTCTTCTTTTTCTTTATTGGCCTGAAAATGTCTACAGCACGGGTCTTCTACATTGTAGGGAGGATTTGCCCTAACCGTTACTCTAGACAGGAGAATTGACGATCGCAATGACGTTGACGCGGCTGCTCGTCACTGATCTGGTTATTTTATGTCTGACGTAAACAAGATTGTTTTAATATATTTATATTTTAGTGGAATTTACCATAGTCCCTTTTATGACACACACAGGACAATATGGCGTGGCTCTTACAATTAATACCAAACGATAATACAATTAAAAAAAAGTTATTACTTCTTTGAAACTATTATAGGACCCCAATACAGTTCAATAGATAAGCAACAACCCAGTACACTTTAGTTTGAATTGGAAGAACTTCAGTTTGAACAAAAAAAATGTTATTAACATAAACTATGTGATATAAGTCATGCGGAAAGAGCATTTAATGCCTTTATTTTAAAATTGATTGCGGAGTTACATTTAATCTTATTATTATTGCATAAAAATATACCTACTTAATTCTATGCTTTTGTGGCACAAGACGGCTGGCATCCAGTACGAAAGACACCGCGCGATAAAATCTTAATTTGTGTAGACAGCCGACGCCGTCCACGCATGTTTAAAATATTATTGTTTAAGTTTATAAAAAAATGTTATAAGTACAGCGTGGGCTCGGTGAAGCGACTTTGCTCTAATTATATTACGAGTATTACCTACTTTAAGCATCCTATGTTTTCACAAAATTAAGTTGAAGTATTCAAATATAATTATAATATAAAATTATAATGAAATAATTTAATTCCAGTAATTAAGTACATTTAATTATTTTTTATAGGATAAGGGTGAGAAATGAGCACACAGTCCTCCTGATGGTAAGTGGATGCTGTGGCCCATAGACATCTACATTTCTCCTCAATTAAGAATCAAAATGCAAATACGTTGTCTCCCCTGAGAACTAAGATAGAATGTCTCCGGTAAAAAGGTTCTCCGGTTCTCTACACTCACCATACGAAACACAGCAGTGTTAAGCTGCTATTTTACGCTAGTATTCTGTGAGAGCGTGGTGCTACCCCGGTCGAGCCGACCCATTCGGGCTACAAACATAATATGACTGCAGCGTAGCTCTACCAATTATAAAATAATTGATAAAAAAATATTATATAATATTTGTACAGTTATAAGGGTCGAATGCAGCGAACGTAATACATTTTATTTTTAAAGAACTATTATGTCTCATTATCTGTATTCACAAATAAAAATAAATTTCAATTTGAATTTTGGATCTGAACTAGACCTTCATTGGAGTAGACGATAAATGATTGTTTGGACCAATATTAATAATTAAAAGCTGATACAGGACTATAGTCTAAATTGATTGTAATACCTCGTCACGTCGCTCCTTAACAAAGGGTTCTCCCAAGCACTCTAATGGAATTTTAAATCCAACACGTAATCAATAAAATCCATAAAATTAGTTTTACCAGATATTTAATATTCGTATAAACATTATATCAAATCGATAATAATCATTAAGTTTCGGGGCTTTTTTTATAGAATAAGGGTGACAAACGAGCACACAGTCCATGTGATGGTAAGTGGCTGCTGCAGCCCAGACATCTACTTCCATCCTCGATTACAAATGGAAATGCAGATGCGTCGTCACCCGTGAGGATTAAGATGGAATGTCTCGGTTCCAGTAAAGAGGGTCTTCGGTTCTCTACACCTACCATACGAAACACAGCAGCATGAAGCTGTTATTTCACGCTGGTATTCTGTGAGAGCGTGGTCTTTACCCGGTCGAGCCGAACCATTCGTGCTACAACTATACCACTAATATAGTTGCAGCATGGCTCTACCATGTCAGAATCGGCTTTGCGGCACCCATCTCTTTAGCAAAAAATACGTTCATAAAATTCTCACACATTATCATCGAATGAGTACCATTCATACACAACATCATCACTCCTCGGGAGTATTAAATTTAGACACAACCAGAGAAAAATACTTAGAACTTTTTCTTCTTTTAATTGTGTATAATAGTTTTCTCTTAAATCTTTAGGCACAAAACCCTTGTACGAGCTATAACAATAAAATATATAACTCCTTGCACACGTTTCTGCTCTAAACGATGATGCTGAGTTAGGACTAGTCATTACAATCGAGATGGCATAAGAACCAGTTAAACAATGTCGTTGAGATATGAATCAAGAAAACTTTTCGACTTTAATTTCGCTGTTTAGTCCGCGCTCGTTTCGCTGTTTATGTTTTCTTTTCATTAGCCTGTCGGAAAAGGTAATATAGAAGAAATTCCGTATAGGTTGCTTTCACTTTGAAAACTGTTTAGTGGTGGCACATAAATTAGAAAACATTTTTAACGTAATAAAAAACAATTCAATTACAGCATTACCTCTAGATATTTTTGCTTAAATTGTTTTTTATTTTTCTCTCGTATAATATTTAAAATAACTTTTAAGTTCAGTTTATGAGCCATACTCAGCGGTAGCGAAATCAATAATTTTCATATTCTAACCACATTGCTTCCCCATTTCTAAATACTTAGGATTTATGTAACAGGAACAAGGTATGGTACGATAAGTTCCTCGTAGGATAAAAGCCTTCTTAAATAGAAATAGATATTAAAATAAAATGTAAAAGTTAAGTTTATACTAAATATAATTGAGAGACGTAGATCTAATAAACTAAATGATTTATAACAACAAAAAAGTTTTTTTGGTTATGCCAACACATTGGTATTTTGTGATCATATGTAAAGTTAAGGGAAAATATACTTCATGGTTAATTTGTTGCTTGATATACCTTTACTTATTTTCATTAACATTTATAGGGCTATAATTATGGCTATATAACATGCGCAGAACAAATTTTAATATAATGAGTATATATACTCGTATATTTTTTTTTCATTGGTTTGAGTCGCTTCGAATACCTATAATCAGATTTAGCTGCCATATTTAGTGTTGTCTTTCATAATTAGCAATTAATTACCAAACAAGAACATTTTAAAATACTTCGATGAGATATAGTAGTCCCGCTCCAATGGCACAGTGCGTCGGACAACCTTTAAAGATAATAAGAATAGGCTCGGCCCGGCTTTGGAATGTATTTACATTGCAACTTTACTTTTTTAAAACCTTAGAAACACTCAAACTACATTAATTAAAAATCTAATTCACTATAAGCACATTCAAAAAAGCTAAAGAGTTAAATAAAATGCAAAAAAAATAAATGCTACAATCGGGTAGTTAATTACTTATTCAAAGCTTGCTGACTTGGTCCTTCGATTCTTATAAGACATTAAATAGTTCTAATAAGACTTTTTCTTGAATTAGCATAAAAATATAACAACTATGAAGCAAGTCAACAAGCTGATATAGTTGAAAATTCTATAACTTAAAAAATAAAAAATATAAAGAAAAAATGAAACGTGCCCAGGTTCGAGATGCGATTGGTTGGATGCTTGTTGCTGCCGACAGATATCCGGGCTTGTCTGTACGAACCAGGAATGAGTGAAGGCCGGGTTCAGGCCTGGATTGAGTCCGGGCCCAGGTCCGGAAAGGCCCATCACTCCGGGCAGCCCACCAGGCCGTTGATGATGATGAAAACTAGCGGAAGCCACCGCATAGTCCATGGCTACCGCTTGGTACGGCAACATTGTCACTTTTAAATCAAAATTAGTCCAAAACTGTTACACAAAGTTCCCGCGTTTCGCCCAGCATTTTCTCTGACTTGTCAATAAAGTTCGCGCGCAATTTGAGTCCTTACACCTGTTCCATTTTTAAATTCACACGAACACACGTTCACTGTTTGTTTTCTTTTTCCTTTTTCAAACGTTTCCAGTCCTTTGGTTGCGAGCCAGTATGGAAGCGAAGCATTCGATTCGGAAATTCACGATTCCTGGAGCATTTAGATTTTAGTTATCAAACAAACGCTCGTCCCATTTTCGCGGCCGATCATTTACAGGGCGAGATGGTCGCTGGGGAAAAGTCACGCACAGCCACCCACTTGATAAATATTCTGGGCATATATCCGTTTTTACGCGGACGTGACTCGACGTGCACTGTCCAATTTTCACGTACGGAACGCGCGGGCGATTATCGAAAACAGTTGCATGCGTCCCCCTCTTTCAACTTTGGACGTGCAACTGAAAGCGAGCACGCGCCAAACGCGACTCTATCACGCTCGGGCTAGACACCCCGGCAGGCTAGTGTTCGGCTGACGAGAGTGAGACACTGCTTTACAATAGTCAGGGACGGATGGATCGATCACGAAAGTTAAAAGCCTGCGTCGTTACACGGTCGGTAATAGGCGGTTACGTGATTGGGCGTGGCCCGGACTATTAAGTTGAATTGTCGCACTCTGATTGGTTGAAATTGGTAGTAGCAGCCTACGTGATATGTTCAGGAATACGTATAGTCTGTGCTCATAGAATATAATAAGTGAGTTGGAGATTGGATTCGCGCCAGCTGAGGAGTACACACGCGGGCTTCGATCCCGTTTCACGTTTCTTTTTTTTTTAATGAATATGGAGCGTTAATAGATTATTAAGAGCAATATTTATATATTGTTCAACGTCTCTATTTTCATTACGAAGAACGTATTGACGTCTGTTAAGGTTTACTAAGCTGTTCATAAATACCTAAAGTGGCTTAAATATTGCATCTAGCTCAAGAAATAAATACTAAATTAAACGCGATATTAATGATTTATTAAATCACATCTCTTCATTTAATAAATGCTGTTACATATAGTTAAATTAAATGATAATTTTAACAAATCAAAAACCATATTAATTAAATATGTTAGGGTATTTTATTATAATTAACATAATTTTAAGGTATTTTGTTACTAATAATATATTAATAAACTAAGTCGCTTTAATAATTCTACTTATATTAATATTCGTCGTGGGTTTCTCATCGTGGATGTAAAGACCTAATTTCATCTGGTAGAAGGTCAGTGCTTAAATTCAATCTTGAACCCTTAACAATGTTATGAAGTTAGGATAGAATGGAAACGTAATGATTAAAATTAAATCTTATTTTGTATGTTCAACTCACTTCATGAATGAATCATTTTTCAACGTGATAGAAATATTAAAAAAAAATCCATTCAACGTAGAGTTTTTTTTTGCATATTTTGAGGAACGTTTTTAAGCTTAGGTATAGGTAGGTATATTATGTCGGGATGATTTATAATTTTTGTAACGGCACTTTGTTAGTCAATTTACCTGTCTGTTTAGTTAAAGACTTATATTTCCAATGAAGCCAAACATATAGCAAATATTTGGATATTGGGCCTTGATGATTTCCAAATATATGACTGATATATGATCTGAACAAAAGATGGGTATGATATAAAAGAATGAAAGTTAGTTAAAAAATATGTTTAATAAAAATTATGATATTATTATTTCTATTAACGAGTATACATTTATAATATTTACGCGAAAACGGCACATTTAATAAAACAAAATTTTCGAATTTTCTCACTTGCGTAGTCGGAAATTAAAAAAGTTCAAACTTTAAATACCTAATAACTATAAAAATGCCATTGCCTCCTCCAATGAAGACAATTTATGATGGCTGTGTTCACCAGTGGACTTCTGATAGACCGCAATGATGATGACGATGAATCGCTACAAAATCCGTCAAAATTCAATAATAAAAATCTATTTTTGATTATATTCTCATACATTATTATTTCAATTTTAAGTGCTAATGTATCTCGTGCTCGGCGGTGAAGGAAAACATTGTGAAGAAACCTGCTTGTTTGAGAAATAAGAAAAAAAATATTTCGAAGAAACGTGAATTTCGCCAACACGCATCGGGGCAGCACGACGGACATTTTCTTGCACTAAAACCCCCTCAGAAATGAGGGGCTGTGCCCAGCAGTGGGGCGTATAGGCTGTAACTTTATTTTTTTACTTTGCATTATTATTACATGCTATCAAACCAATGCAATGGGGTAGCTAACAATTGATAAAATTAGATACCTATTCTAATTTATAAGTACCAAAGTAACTGATCCCCGCGCCTTCGCCCGCGTGGAATTTATTACGATTGGATTTTATGAGTTTTAATTTATGCACGGAACCCTAATTATTTTTCTAAAATAAAAGTAGCCCAAATTACTCCTTATAACATTAGCTATCTGCCGGTGAAATCCCGCCAAAATCGGTCCAGCCGTTTTGGAGATTAGCTGGAACAAACAGACACAAAATTTTAAAAATTGTGTTTTGATTATGAGTACCGTATATACTTTCATACGTATTTAGTATAAAGCTGTTATTTTAACATTACAAACAGACACTTCAATTTTATTTATTTGTATTTGTATAGAGTATAGATTATATTCCATGATATCCCTGTGTATTCAATTGAGTACCCACAACAATAAATCCATCTTACTTTTTCAGAAGTTTATAGTGTGGAGTGCACGTATATCTACATGGTGTCTCATTCAACAATTTGGCACACAGTTCCACCACGTGGGCGTACCAACAATCGTAATCTCTTTAGAACGCACAACCCGCCCTGCCCCAATATATCCGCAAATTTTCAAATATCTCTTTAAATAATATTCATGATAATATCGATCAAAAACCTTTTTCTACATAAAACGAGAAAGTAAAGAAGAAATTTCCCGTGTAGTGGCGGTATAAAACATCTATATCATCTTGAGGGTGTCGCAAAAGGCAACAGAGGGAAACAAATCAGGAGATGGGCAGCAGCGTCTTTCACCATTTCACGATACGAAACACAGCAGCATTAAGCTGCTATTTTAGGCCAGTATTCTGTAAGAGCGTTGTCCTACCCTGGTCGAGCCAACCTATTCGATCTACAACCACAATATAGCTGCAGCGTGGCTCTACAACCATAATATAGCTACAGCGTGGCTCTACTACGTGTACATCATTATATATCTTATTATACACCTTAAAATCAATCTTTTTAAAAAGAAGAATTTGATTAATTCAGCAGATTACGAACTCCATTGAACCTTCTGTATATTAGCACACAAATCGGCGGCAAATGGCGGACGGAAGCCGCAAATGCATGCCGCTTCCGGTCCGCGGTCACCTAACTGGACTCGATCCTCCCGTTTGTTTAGATATCGCCACACGTCTGTTCCTATTCATTTTCTATTGTCAGGACTTAGATTCTGATAGAGCTATTTTGAAGCGATGTGGATAGTCCGGTTGTAATCGGAAGTATCACTATATCGATAATATAACTCGAGTTATATTGGTAGTTAGAGAGTTTTATATTAGTACATCTACAGTATCAGAGATAAGGCGAGTTATATTTTCGATATAGTTATAGTTTCGATCACAACAGGACTATTCACACACCTACTAAATAGCTCTATCAAAGTTTAAATCAGTTTTCCATCGATCTCATTACTAAGATTGTTATCACTATTCATATTATATCATAGAGCGATAGGAGGGTATATGTAATGAAAATTAACTGCCGTCATTAACACCTATAGTGTCAGAAACAGGGCGAGTTATATTTTCGATATAGTTATAGTTCCGATCACAACAAGACTATTCACACACCTATAAAATAGCTCTATCAAAGTCTAAGCCAGTCTTCCATCGATCTCATTACTAAGATTGCTATCGCTATTCAGAATAAATCATAAAGCGATACGTGAAAATCAACCGGCTTCAGTCTTCCCAGACCTATGTAACATTGGTGTTTATATATTATCACCAGTGAATAGGTTTATTAAAAACAGTATTTCTAAAGCTTTATTACCTTGGACATCAATCTTACTTATCCATATTCAGTACATTATACTGTACGTTATGTAGGTAGGTACTTATTATGACATCGTAATAACTTCGGAATTGCCATAAAACAGCTCCTAACTTCCTTAAATAAAAGATCACAAATAGCTTCAATTCGTAGTTTTTGTTTTCGTTGTCACTTATTGGGTAAAGAGTGCTCGTCGCTGGTTATAATCAATAAAGAGATCGCTCCGGTGGACACGGTCACGCGAAGAGCGCTCAGAAGCTCGGACGCGGAGGTACGCGCGGTCCGGACACAGTAACGCAAAATGGCGGACGCAGTAACAATGGCGGGAACTGACTTTACACACATGTCAACTGCACTTATAAGCTATTTAAATATGAAAAAGTTCCGATGGGGTTCCACATATGAGTACAATAGGTATTTTTATTAGAAGAAGAAGACAGGAGATAAAAAGCTGCTGTAGCAATCCCGCCTACCAATCGTGGCATCTATGGCAATTATCTCTTTTATGAGACAAACTATAGTGAGGTCTATGTTCAGTAGCGGCCGTTTGATTGGTTGGATGGATGAATAAATGAACCGGAATGCATCTAGAAATGTTTTGAAGGCCATAATTTTATCTGGAGAAACCAAGAGAGAGACTATTCTCATCGACAATTATAGGAATGTATGGACATTCCTATAATTCCAAAGGCCACTACTTTAGTAGTATGTAATGAATGAATGATGAATAAATATTTGGCAGTTAATTAAATATTTTGTGAAAATAGGTTAATTTACAGATCGATATGTATATAATAAAGCATAAAGTAGTTTCTCTGTGTCGCGCCAGTAGGCATACAAAATATAACATTAATAAGTGCAACATTCATCAATAAAATTCATCAATTTT